GGGGGGGGGGGGGGGGTTACAGTCAACAATAAGATGGATATGACTCAGCAGTGTGCCTTTGTTTGCCAAGAAGGCTAACAGAATACTGGGCTGCATTAGTAGGAGCGTTGCCAGCAGATTGAGGGAAGTGATTATTCTGATCTGTTCTGCACTGGTGAGGCCACATCTGGCATACTATGTCCAGTTTTGGTCTCCCCACTACAGAAAGGATGTGGACAAATTGAGAGAGTTCAGAGGAGGGCAGTGAAAATGGTTCAGGGGCTGGGGGACATGACCTCTGAGAAGAGGCTGAGGAACCTGGGTTTATTTAGTCTGCAGAAGGGATGATTGAGGGAGGGATCTGATAGTAGACTTTAACTACCTGAAGGGTGATTCAGGACAGCTGAACTGTTTTCAGTGGTGACAGATGACAGAACAAGGAGCCAGTGGTCTCCAGTTGCAGCAAGGGAGCTTTACGTTGGATATTAGGAAAATCTTTCTCACTAGGAGGGTAGTGATGCACTGGAATAGGCTACCCAGAGAGGTGGTAGAATCTCCACCCTTGGAGGTTTTAAAGACCTGGCTAGACAAAGCCTTGCCCAGGGTGATGTAGATGGGGATGGTCCTGCTTTGAGCAGGGGGTTGGACTAGATCAGTGGTCTCCAACGCTTTTATGGTGAAGATCATTTTTTGTAAGTAACGGGTACCCAAGGATCTGCCCCCCTGCCTCCCGGACAAGCTGTCTGGGCTCTGACCTCTCTCACCCAGGCCAGCCTGGGTGGCAGAGGAGATGGCTCAGCTCAGCTCAGCTCAGCTCAGCTCAGCTCAGCCGCATGCATCCTGCCACTTCCTATCATGGAGCCTCTGACAAACTGAGATGCACTGTGAGAGGCTCCACAATTGACCACTGGACTAAGCGATCTCCTGAGGTTGGTGACTGCTGAACTAGATGATCTCCTAAGGTCCCTTCAAACCCTAATTTTCTATGACTGAAGGAATATCCTTACAAGTGGAGCACAGTAAAAGACTAGCTTTAAAAATATTTTGTGATAAATTTGCCCCAACCTTCAACTTTCATGCATTTTTAATGCATATCAAAGGTCCATTCTGAGGCTAGGTGGTACATTGGGCTAGGGCAGGGATGGGCAAAATATAGACCACCAACAGACTTGCTCCAGCCTGCCAGTGGCAGCCACCACCTCATTGGATCTGCTCTGTGGGGGGCCAGTGAGTCCAGTTCCAGGCTCCCTGTGGTGCCAGGCAGGCAGGTGGAGCTTTTCCATCATGCTGGGCAGGGCTGCTTCGACCCAGGAGCTTCAGCTTTTGATGCAGTGGCATCAGCTGTGGCCCTGGGCTAGGGCTTCCACTGCAGCTGGTGGGCATCGGCTGTGGATGCTGCCAGCAGGTTTAGGAGCCCCAACACAAAATCTGCTAGTGATGCCCACAGCTTACAGCATTGCCCTCCCAGTGAAGCCAAAGCTCCTGCCTGGAGCCCTGACTTGGAATCTGCTGGTGGCATCAGTTCTGGACACAGGAAGGCACTTCTGCCACTTCAGGTCGGTTTCAGCTTCAGACATTGCTGGAAGGTTGCATGTTGGGCTCTGGATCCTGCTGACTGCTTCCACAACTAATGCCACCGCTCACTTGCTGCAGCAGAAGTCCCTGACTGGGTCCACAGCTGATGCTGCTTGTGAACTACAGCTCCAGCCAGGTTCTGTGGGGAGGAATGGAGGGAAGGGGAGATGGAGGTAGAAAGAGATGCATGTGGCCCTTAACAGGTTACCAAAACTCATTAAGTGACCATCCAGCTGAAATAATTGCCCACCCCTGGGCTAGGGTGACTATGGAATACCAGTTTGTGTGGCCAGTTATACCTCAGGGAGAGATCTTGCCTAATATCTGGCCTCTCTTGACTCTCCAGCCTAAATGACTTTAAGCAGGTGTTGTGCATTGGTGTGAGCCCGGAGTCCAGATGCTTCTTGATCCATAGTGAGACACTTTGACTGCATCCCTTTCTGATACCGATGGGATGCATCAATTGCAGATATGACCTGGATTGTCACAACTCATTCGAGAATTTTTACTTAAGCACCTGTTTATTTCATCTTGCCAGCAAATGGCAACAGGCACACAAGTGTCTGTTTTCTAATACAATTTTTATTCAGGCCCCCTCCCCCCCCCCCCCCCCAAAAAAA